TGACTAAACATGATTTTCAGTTCTTGAGAAGAGGATACTTTTCTGTATGTTTTCCTAATTTGTAAAATTTTCGATCCCCCATTGTGGCCTGACCCTATCCCCAGGGTCATCATTTTAACAAACTTGAATCTACACTACCTGAGGATGCTTCCATATCAAAATGACTAATCATGGCTTTGCAGTTCTTCTGAAGAAGAAATTTTCCTATATATTTCTATTTAAGACTTTGATCCTCCATTGTGGCCCCACACTACCCGGGGGTCATGATTTGAACAAAATAGAATCTACACTACCTGAGGATGCTTCCACATAAATATGATCAATCAGGGCTTTGCTGTTCCTGAGAAGATTTTTATGATTTTTCCTATATATTTCTATGTAAACTTTGATCCTCCATTGTGGCTCCACCCTACCCCCGGGGGTCAGGATTTGAATAAATTTGAATCTACACATACCTGAGGATGCTTCCATATAAATATGACCAATCAGGGCTTTACTGTTCCTGAGAAGATTTTTATAGATTTTACCTTTATATTTCCAAGTAAAACTTTGATCCTCCATTGTGGCCCCACCCTACCCCCAGGGGTCATGATTTGAACAAACTTGAATATACACTACCTGAGGATGCTTCCATATAAATATGACTCATCATGGTTTTGCTGTTCTTGAAAAGAAGATTTTTAAAGATTTTTCCAATATATTTCTATGTAAAAATTTGTTCCTCCATTGTGGCCTTGCCCTACCCCCGGGGGTCATGATTTGAATAAACTTGAATCTACACTACCTGAGGATGCTTCCATATAAATATGACTCATCATGGCTTTGCTGTTCTTGAGAAGAAGATTTTTCCTATATATTTCTATGTAAAACTTTGATCCTCCATTGTGGCCCCACCCTACCGCCGGGGGTCATGATTTGAACAAACTTAAATCTACACAAACTGAGGATGCTTCCATATAAATATGACTCATCATGGCTTTGCTGTTCTTGAGAAGAAGATTTTAAAAGATTTTTCCAATATATTTCTATGTATAACTTTGATCCTCCATTGTGGCCCTACTCCCGGGGGGTCATGATTTGAACAAATTTGAATCTACACTACCTGAGTATAGTTCAATATGACTAAAGATGGCTTTTCTGTTCTTGAGAAGATTTTTTTTATATATTCCTATGTAAAACTTTGATTCCCCATTGTGACCCCACCCTATCCCCTGGGGTCATGATTTGAATAAATTTGAATCTACACTGCCTGAGGATGCTTCCATATCAAAATGACTAATCATGGCTTTAGTGTACTTGAGAAGATTTTTAAAGTTTTTTCCTATATATTCCTATGTAAAACTTTGATCCTCCATTGTGGCCCCGCCCTACCCCCGGGGGGTCATGATTTGAACAAATTTGAATCTACACTACCTGAGGATGCTTCCACATGAGTTTCACCTTTTCTGGCCCTGTGGTTCTTGAGAAGAAGATTTTTAAAAGATGCTATTAATTTTTCACTAACTCTTTATTATCTCCCCTTGAAAGCAGATCAAACTCGAAGGTTATGGTAAAAAATATTCAACCCAAGGAAAGGTCTTGTCAAAAGCATACACGTGATATATGAAAGCTCTAGCACCAAACATCTGGAAGTTATAACCAAAGTCAGAGTTTTTCAAAAGTAGGTCAGACTCCAAGGTCAAGGTCAACAGGTCAAAGTTGTTTGTACCCAAAGAAAGATGTTGTTACAAGGAATAAACATGTGAAATATGAATGCCCTAGCTCTTGCCAATCAAAAGTTATAGTCAAGGTTAAAGTTTTTACAGACAAACAGACAGAGCAAAAACTATATGCACCTGAATCTTCTATTATGAGGGGATTAAAAAATAAAATTATGTTTTCACACCATTTTATTAGAAAATTATGGAAATTCATTGAAAATTATGTAAAAATTGCAAGTAAAAATATCATGAATCATATATTATTGTGATATTTGTTGAAGAAATCGTGATATATTGCGATACAAAATCTTTTTACCCACCCCTAATAGTGACACAAATATGCCAAACACTTTTTGATCAGAAAAGCAAGCCTGTGGTTAAGCTAAGCGAAAACAAATAAAAACAACCATTAAAACTTTAATTAATATAAGTGTTAAATAGAAAACATTTTTTAATACTTCACAAAAAAGGCAACCCATCTAATATTACCAGTATGTACACACTATTAACTGATGTTATCATCAACTTACATGGATACTATTTACAGGTACTTATAATTTACAAAATTCAACAATTTATATACCCCCACCCCCCACCCACCCCCACCTTTAAAGAATTGTGTTACATGTACATGCCAAATTGTACACACAATGTAACTTTATTATACTGTATACATACCCAGTATTTTACCACTACCTTAGCTCTGAAATGAATGTTTTTCTTTTATGCAAAAGAAATTAGGAATTCTAACATTGACATTTCAACATTTTAAAATATATAAAATGGTAAAAATTGTTAAACAGACAAGGAAACAAAAACAATTTCAACATAAACTACGAATGTTTCTTCTATTTGTACACTGTTATTCTGTAATGGCTACATACTAATCTGTAAGATATTTATTACATCATTGATTATATATATACATTTTATTGGAACAAGTAAATTTATCCTTATCAGTACGTAATGCTATCAACATTTTTCCAACCATGTTCTCATTTTTATCATAAACCACACATTCAAATTTCTATCATAACACACATTTCAGCATTTAAATCAGTATCTCCCACAAAACAGGCATTCCAGTCAGTAAACAACATGTATTAGTTTCTTTCACATAACTTTGTACTTGCTTATTTCCCAAGAAAAAATAGCTTGTAAAAAGCAAATCATTTAAAATAACTCAGCAACTCTTACAATGCTATTTCCAGAAGATGCTATTCAAATATCAAACAGGGTTTATAACTGACAGAAGAAATTGTACTCGTAAAAGTGATAAACTCCAAACACAGTCTGATCACTTATTCTTAACAGTATTATGTAAAAAAAAATACTTCAATGCCCATGCTGTGAATGCCTTTTAAAGCAACTCAAGCAATGTTCCTTTTGTAGAAATATTAGTTCTGGGTGATAAAATGAGTACAAACAACATGAAATATGGAATACATTGGAATCATGAAGCTATGTGCTTTGACTTGAAGTATGGTTATGAAAATAAGCTTAAAGTGTTGAAATGATCATTAAAAAATATTTGTAATCAAAGTAAACAAAACAATGCTATCTGAATCCAGTGGACAATACAAGGATCATAATACATTGCAAGTCAAACATTAGGTATGAGGTCTTTTATCCATGATCTTTGACCTGACTACATTTCATCTGTAACCTCCTCACTGACCTCTACATGAGAAATGTTACATGAACCCTCGAACACCTGTTCAGCAATTTCAGGATCCATGACGATAATCTCTGTTTCTATGGTTTCCTCTTCTTTGACCGCTAGACTTTCAGTGGCATCCTGGCAGCCACCACACATGCTGATTGGGAACTCATCACACCTCTCAGCACTATACCACACTGGACAGGTCAATGACTGGACATGTCGAAAAGGCTCCTCAAACTCACGGACAGGGACATCCCAGTGGTCAGGGTAGTGGGTGACCGACACCCCCGGGCAGAAAACATTACCCACAAGTCTGTCCAGAGTCCATTGAAATGTCTGAACATCTAATTCACCCCTCTCTGTTTTCACTACAATTTTCTCCAAGGATTTGAACAGAACATTAATGTTTAATTGGCCTTCAGGGGTCAGGGTCACAGTCACTGGGTCAAGGTCTTCTTCAAGGCAACCAAAATATCGTCTATTTGTGATGACCAATGGCGAGGATGGAATTACCGGGATCTAAAGAAAAGTAAATAATCAGGGAAAACAAAACCCCTGGAAATTTAAATTTCTAATATATCTCTTTTATCTCTTAACTTGGATGATATCAGGCTCAGGTACAAAGTCAATTCAAAACTTACCTGATTGTAATATTTACAAAATGAAAAGTTAAATATATATAGCAAACGATATAAAATCTGCCGTTTATTATCAACATGTGACTGAAAATATTCCCGAGTCTGAGTACAGCTTACCTGGTAGGAGAGTGTGTCATACTGTGGAGACTTCAGGATGTCCAGGGCGGACTGAATGACAAACGTCAAGCCGTCTCTAGCCAGCCCACATCCTGGGCACGCCGCGTTTAGATACAAGTTGCAGTGGGTCATGACGGTGCGTTTTTCTCTTTTGTCCGCTGTGACTGGAATAAATCCAGGAGAAGTGTTGCTAAAGCTTCACCGCTGTCAAATATATTGCTCAATCCGCGGCTTGGGACTCAATTATTATAACCAAGCTATTAGTTATTAAATTGTCAGACATCACAAAGGTTTTATTTCAATGATTTAGCAAAAGACCATCTAAATGAATCCCAATGCTCAAGTTTCATTTCTAGAATAATGATTCTATGTCATGCAAGATCTTTTTTCTCTCATTTTTTTTTGTGTTCATAGGAAAATGTGGTTGACTGATGATTAGCAATACTAAGCTATTTGTCTAAACTGATTTTTTTTTAACAAAGTATTATCAAAAAATGAACAACAGGTGCCTCATTCAAGAAATAAAATGAAATAAATGAAGAACATGCAAAAACAGCTATTGGTAAGACTTGTAGAGAAAAACACGCCCAAGATGTAAAAATGTCCAGAGGTTTTAACCCAGATTAACGAAATAAGCCATGACACATGCACAGAGATTTCACTGGGGCATGATAGTGTCAACAGAATGACAAAGATAGATGCTTGTGTCGCCAGTTTTATTCAGTATTCATTATATAAGAAACATCTCTCATCATTTGGTCCACACAGATATATACATGTACAGTATATAGACAGGTAACTAAGCAAAGATAAGATTTCTTCTGACAGCACAGTTTTTTTTTACTATCCTTTAACCTCTAATTCCACAATAAATTGACTTACACTGGTTGTCTTGTTCCCCGCCCACCACCTCAGCAGATAACTGGTCCTCGGTGAGTTCTCCCAGCTCCACTGTTACTTGTTCTGTCACACGATCCAGCTCTGTAAATAATCAATCAAAAGCCTGAAAGGCTTCAATGGCATCCAACATAAAGAACAATTCTAAAATTTCTTTTGAATTCAATATAAAAATTGTACACAAAGCATCACTATAATAGGTTAGGCACTTTATTTCATGGACAGAATTGATCAAGGTCCACATACACCTGACTCTGTCAAGTGTATATAAACATGGAAGCCTGTTCATGTTGTCAAATAATAAATTCATCTCTTTTCTGTCCTAGACCTAGAAAAGATTTATTTTATTACTATTTTACTTGTCAATATCTAAGCATTGCTTTTTCAATATTTCTAGCTTAACAACATTTTCAGTGATTGCACTTCAGCTTACAGTTGAGCATGGTTATCAGTATTCTACAAAACCCAGTTTAGGATAAAATTTATTGGTGTAAAATTGTAAGAGTAAAGATTGAACTTTAAAAGCCAATTTTTCTTACACTCTTGTTAGTGTAATAAAGTGACTTCATGATTTTTTTTCCCGCTTTGCTGTTTTCTTTTTACCTGATTTCCCTTCCCAAAAAAATGATTAGACATATAATTCCAAGAATCGCTATTTAGAAATTATACACCTGCAACAACTATCAGTAAGGTCCACACTTCTTCTTTCATTAGAATACAGTCTCTGTGATTTAATTGTAGATATACTTGATGCAATTTTATTTTCAAGTTACATTTTCATTGTGACCATTTTCAAAAGAAATTGATACGTTCCATTTTCTTTTGCAGATGCAATGACTGACACCTTTGGTTGCCAGTTACATTGCTAGTTTGCCAAAACAAACATAAAGTGTTACTACTTTTTCAATACTTTGGCAGCATTATCAAAGAAGAAATATAGTAATCAGTATTATACGTGAATGAGTTGATACCTGCAGAAACTTTGTTGGTTTGGGAACTGGTTGGCATTTCAGACTGTGATACATCAGCTAAATAAGAAACAAGTGTGGGATCAGAGTATTTAATTAAACTTTTAACGTCATCAGTAAAGGCATAGAATACAAAGTAATATTTAACTAGAAATATGTCCATAGGACATGAATGCCCCGCCGAGGGTATATTAGTAACACAACATTTTAACACAAATTGAGAAAAGTGAGGTCAAGGTCAAAGGAAAGGTCAAGGTGAAAAAATATTGATGCAGTTGAATAGCTTACATCAGTATGTATCAGCACATGAAGTTTGACATTAATTTAAGAAAAAAGAGGTCAAGGTCAAAGGAAAGGTCAAGGTCAAAAATTGTTGATGCAGTTGAAAATGTTACATCAGTATGTATTAGCATATGAAGTTTGATAAAAATATTAGGAATAGTTTCTTTAAAACTGAGCTAAACAATAATTTAAGAAAAGTGAGGTCAAGGTCAAAGGAAAGGTCAAGGTCAAAAAATATTGATGCAGTTGAATAGCTCTCATCAGTATGTATCAGCATATGAAGTTTGATAACACTATCTTGAATGGTTTCATTAAAACTGAGCTAAACACTAATTCAGAGATCAAGGTCAAAAGAAAGGTCAAGGTCAAAAAATGTTGATGCAGTTGAATAGTTTACATCAGTATGTATCAACATATGAAGGTTGATTACACTATCTTGAGTAGTATCTTTAAAACTGAGCTAAACACTAATTTAAGAAAAGTGAGGTCAAGGTCAAAAGAAAGGTCAAGGACAAAAAATGTTGATACAGTTGAATAGTTTACATCAGTATGTATCAACATATGAAGTTTGATTACACTATCTTGAATGGTATGTATGTATCAATAATTTAAGAAAAGTGAGGTCAAGGTCAAAGGAAAGGTCAAGGTCAAAAAATGTTGATGCAGTTGCATAGCTCTCATCAATATCTATCAGCATATGAAGTTTGATAAAAATATCTTGGATAGTTTCTTTGAAACTGAGCTTTGAACAGAGCTAAACGCAAAGTGTGACGGAAGGACAGAAGGACGGAAGACGGACATGACAAACACTATATGCCTCGGCCATATTCATGGCGGGGCATAAAAAGGGGTGCTGCTAATAAAAAAGAGAAAGAAATGATGGAAAAACAAGAGGCCCAAGGACCTCAGTATAAATAACCCTGTAAAGGATCCATAGTCTAAGAATGGAAATTACAGTAAAACTTGTTTAGTGCGAACACAGATATAGTGAATTCACGGATATAGCGTAGTTTTTTTGGAATCCCCAGCGAAATTCTTAACAAATTCTAGGAAAATATTATGGTTATAACAAACTCTGATATAACGAATTTACGGATATAGCGAACTGATTTTCTGTCCCATAGAGGTTAAAAATAACGAAAATTACATCTTTTATAACAAATTTTCAATATCTTAAACTTCAAAATATTAAACTGATATTATTTTTGTAAAAGTATTTAGTTTTGAAATTCCATTCCTCAGAAATATTTAGTTCCCCAAGTAAAATTTTGTTTTTAATACCTCCCAGAACATATTTGGTAGTTATACTTGAAGGAAAAGATGCATATTGCGAATTCGTTATGAATGCTTACACGAATTCGTTTTATGGATATAATGAATTATGGATAGAATGAAGTAAATTCACAGGTTCCCAGGACTTTGCTATAACCGAGTTTTGCTGTATATAAAGAAACTAAACAAACTCAGAGATGAAAATATGTTGCTCAAAAACACGAGGAATAGGATGCTCAGGGATCAACAAAATAGTTAGTCTGGCGATCATCAGCAACACCCCATAAAAAGTCTTTAATTCTACTTCCCCATCAATAACATTATTTATAGAGATTAGAGACAATTACTAAAATAACATTTATCAGCTACATACTATTCCCATAATGTGAAGTTCAAAGGAAACCCACTCAAAAATAAGCAAAAAAAAAAAAAAAAAAAAAAAAAAAGAATGATTAAAACCGCACTAGTGATAACAGAATGACAGAGGTTTAGATGATAAATGCATGGCATTACAATGGATCTACACCCTACACATACCAAGACATTCCAAAAATTACCTTGTGCTACAAGACATAAAAAATTCACAATTTTACCTTTAGTTTTACTTTTTAGATTATGCAATCCTGAATATTAAAAGAAAGGAGTAGTTGTAAGCCTTCTACTACTTTTTTCCCCCCAAGACATGACATTTATTTTCAACAGGATGTACAGACATAGAGTATATCAGATCTATGTATAATGTCAATCCATAAATATGACTGCTCAATTACTGAGGAAAACATTTTATACACTGGACTTAACTACATTCTGATACTGTATACAATGTATTCTTATCATCAAATCAAATTTCTGATTCCATGAAGCAGTGATATACTGTCAACATTTTAAAAAAGTATTTCAAATAAAAATATTGACAGCACAAAATATTAACTTTACAGTCACCTATCCTCCTATATAACCTGCATTTATTGATATTGCTGATTTAATCCTGTGTCTAATATTGATATTGACAGGCCATTAATCCACAAATTGATGTTCACAAAACTGATGATAATTTTTCTTACATTGACAGAGATGAGTAATGTAACCTATTATTGATATGGAAAGGACTAATATTAATTTTAGTGTCAAGTAACCTACCAATAATATGGAAGAACTAATGTTAATTTTACTGTCAGGTGCCCTACCATTGATATGGACAGGATAATGTTAATCTTACAGACAAGTAACCTACCATTGATATGGACAGGGATAACGTTAATTTTACAGACAAGTAACCTATCATTGATATAAACAGGACTGAGGTTAATTTTAATGTCAGGTAACTTACCATTGATACTAACAAAGCAAATTTTAAATTTCATTTTTAGGTAACTTATCTTTGACTACTGACAGGGCTGGTATTAATTGTTAGGTAACTTACAATTAATATTAACAGGGCTGGTGTTATTAACACCAGCCCTGTTAATATTAATGGTAAGTTACCTAACAACTGTTAAGTAACTTACCATTAATATTGACAGGGCTGGTGTTAATTGTTAGGTAACTTACCATTAATATTAACAGGGCTGGTGTTAATTGTTAGGTAACTTACCATTAATATTGACAGGGCTGGCGTTTATTGTTAGGTAACTTATCTTTGACTACTGACAGGGCTGGTGTTAATTGTTAGGTACCTTACCATTAATATTGACAGGGCTAGTGTTAATTGTTAGGTAACTTACCATTAATATTGACAGGGCTGGTGTAAATTGTTAGGTAAATTACCATTAATATTGACAGGGCTGGTGTAAATTGTTAGGTAACTTACCATTAATATTGACAGGGCTGGTGTTAATTGTTAGGTAACTTACCATTTATATTGACAGGGCTGGTGTAAATTGTTAGGTAACTTACCATTAATATTGACAGGGCTGGTGTTAATTGTTAGGTAACTTACCATTTATATTGACAGGGCTGGTGTTAATTGTTAGGTAACTTACCATTTATATTGACAGGGCTGGTGTAAATTTTTAGGTAACTTACCATTAATATTGACAGGGCTGATGTTAATCTTGCTGTCTTGTTCCGACTCCTCACCTGAGGAACCTATTAAAATACACCTGATATAAAATTTAGTTCTTCTTTTATTTAATTAAATAACATTGATACAGTAACAAAGAACTTATATTTTTGATTTCAAGAACCTTTCCACTAGGGATGTCAACGAATATTGGAGTACTCGACTTTCGTTCGATCATACCGACTATCGACTAATTTTTTTTAGTCTGTTATTCGTCAAAAATTTGCTACTTAATAGTAATCTTAAATTCAAGGTAAAAATGGATCTATGGATCTACTCACTTTATTTTTTAACACATCAGTGTTCAGTGTTCTCTTGAGTAAAACTCAGGGAAAGGCTTAACCTGTCTACGTTAATTGTTCAAAGGAAATTTTTGTTCGGTAAACATGCATTGGCATACATTAAGGGGAAGAAGGACCTTGAGCTGAAAAAATACCTGTTATTCAATTTTTTTCATATTTTGTATATTTCTTATTAAGTATGTCCCACATATCTTAAAGCAGTTATATCATTAGGTTTCTTACCTTATTTTAGAGATATTGATTGACAAATACTATGCCCTACAGTATCTAAGTAGAGTTTTAGTTCTCCATGTTTCCGGGCCCATTACTCTGTCCATAATGGGATTTTTAAGCAAAGATAAAAAATATGTAAGTGGACATGTATCTTTTCAAATATTTCATAGTATGAATAGGGTTAAAATTCGAAAAAGCAAGTTTCTTCTATCACACTGCATCTGGATAGCGAAAATTACGTACTTTTTAAGACAACTTTAACAACAAAAAACGTAATTTACCAAAAATTCTATCATTCAATATTTTTAAATTTACGTTGAAATGTAAGTCCTTCAAATTATTGATTAACTGTAAAAATTTCGAATGGTGAAGCTGACCTCAATATTGCACAGGACATCGTTAAAAAGGACATAAGCATGACAAAAACATGTCATGTTTACATTTCTCGAGTACGGGAAAAACCAACTATGACGTCACATGTAAGCTTAATAAGCGAAAGAAGATATACCTACATAAGATTTCCGTCATCAGCCATGCAAAAATAATTTTTGTATTCCCCGTGTCTCAGAATATTTTATCATATACTGATTAAGACCTGTTTTCACAAAGTAACACCGCTCCTGTATTCACTGAGTATGATCTTGCTGTACTAAGAGATCGTGTATGACGTCACCGACTTGCTGGACGCGCAGTTTAGGGAAACAGAGGAGTGGATCAATCTTTTTCATAATTTGTTAATGTTTACAAGAATTTTAAAACTTCTGTTTTTTCATATAAGATGGTTATTAAAGTTAAAAAAATGCCAAAAAATTATACAAGAACTGATGCTTTACACGCTTTGCTCTTACATAAACGGAGACTATGACGTAGTTAAACAGAGTCATGTGACCATGTGTCCTTCTCCTCCTTAAAAGAAGACAGATCCAAATTGTAAAGTTTCAACCTGCAATTCCGTAAGGTCTCGTATAATGCAACTATGAATTAATGAAGAATAATTAACAGTTGTTACGTATTTGTAAATACAAGTAAATTGGGGGACAGTTATAAGCGTAATTTAAAGGAGTTTCTTTCTTACATTAATATTGATGATTTTCAAGTTGTATCAATTGTATGCAAAAAATCTCATAATTAAAGCTCTCTTTGTTTTTATAAAAGTTACGCTTTAATTGTTTAACAATCACGGGTCATTGACGAAACAAATTCAAATGGCTTCATGTAAGAAATCAATTACGGGTACATGTACTAGCAGCATGAAAAGAAAGGATAAATGCAAGCATTTAATACTCTATTTATTGATAAAATGTGCAGTAAATATTATATTTGAAATCGAATACATTGGATATATATATTTATTACTACGTAAATGTTAACGATTCAATAATTCGTTGTATAATGGTGATAGTGTAGATTAAATATTGTTCAGGCTAGGAGTCTGTTAAAGACAAATAGGAACAATACATCCCGTCTTAAGACGGGCGTATAAAAATGACATGAAAAATTAATCTAAATTTCAACGAGTACTTGACTATTGTTCGACTAAAGCCTCCGACTATTCGACTAAGCTGTCCGAGTAAAATTGACATCCCTACTTTCCACATATTTTTCCATTTCAAATAAAGCATATCAACTTGCTCACTTATTTCACTTTAACCTCTTTAATCAGGTGAACTTACCCACATTCACTGGTTGTAGCTGTGGGATAGCCTGTACTGTTACTTTCTCAAATGCTTTTTTGCCTCCCTCAGGAACTAGAGTGGGGCGTATTTGACCCTGACCAACCACCTGGGCACCACTTATGTTTAGACGTGACACCAGGCGACTTCTGATGTTGGGGTATGCTGCCTCCTTGTTGCTGGTGAGGCTCGATACCACGGTCTGCTGTGGTTTTGTTGTAGTCTCTGTAGTGTCCTTGTTGTTATCGAGGGCTTGCGTAAGAACCACACTACTAGGGGTACCCTCCAGGGTTACTGGGTTTTTGTTGGCTGCCATATTTTTGGCTTTGAGAGCTTCAAACACAGTGTATGGAATGGTGATCTTGACATTGGAGTTGTCTGTGTTACGGGTCAGTCTGTCCTGTAGGACAGAGTCCAAGGTCACATTGGTAATGGTCATTTTGTCCTGACTCTGACCTTTCCCCTCAATATCCTTCTGTTTGCTTCCGGCTAATGCTAAAAGCTGCTTCATGTCTAAATTAATCAAATTTAATCAATATACACTGTTAAAATGAGACAATTACAAAGTACAGATCATAGTTACTAAATCGGTTTTATCTTATATCAAGAAGGTAAAGAAAAGAAGTTTTTGTGCACCAAAATTTAATCCTCTAGCATTCCAGGGTTCTTACCTAAGATATATGGTAGCTTCAACATGTTAATCACACTCTGTCCTGAAAGAAAAGAAAAGAATTTACCAGTTAGAATAAATCACCATTTCCTTTATAAAACAACAGTATGTGCAACAGGAATACCCAAAGAAATGTTATTTTAACACGAGATGTAATTCACAAACATTTCAATACTCAGAGCTTTAAAGCAAGAATGTGCTATGACAATTGTAAGACTATACAGAACTGTCCAGTACTACCAGATGTTGGAGTAGTGAGCGTGGCCCCGGGGGTGTGGGAGGTACTGCTGCCCTGAGACTCTGTCTCGTAATCCTCCTCCTCCTCACTGCTTTCTGTCTCTTCACTCGGTTGATTTTTACCCGTTTCACGGCGGCTTCGTTTTGATCTTGGCTGGTTTTCTTGGTCTAAGCTTCTCTTCACTGTCAGCTGAATCTTTTCCTGTTCAAATAAACCTGCAACAGCTCATCACTCCAATAAAATATTTAATTAATAAACGTTTGTTAAGATTTTGATATCATTAGTGGAACTTTTGTTTAAATGTACATCTACAGTAAGTTTAGTTGCCTGTGTGGCCAGTCTGACCTTTGACTTTTTGTCATCATCCTTGTCTGTTGCTGCTTCTTGGTTTTTGAGTTCTATGGCATGGAGGAGTGTCTGTAACATACCCCCTTCTGTGGTGGTGATACTGAAGGCAGCAGGAGGACTGGCCTCTTTCAGTTGTTTACTCCCAGCAGGTGTGTTAGGTGTAGAACTCCCTGTATGTTAGAATAATAGTCTGAACCTCCAGAAATAAATTAAAACAGGAATCCGAAAACAATATACAAAATACTATTTATTGTGATTTTTCGGCAAAGAGGATATATGTATACACAGAGCTCCAGATAAGGTGCGTATTTGCAGAAATATGCATTGAATTTTTCAAAATACGCATTAAAAATTAAAACAGGGCGTACAATTACGCATTAGCAATCATAAATAAGCATTACACTACGAAAGTACTGCGTACAACGGATTGAATGATACAAGTATTATTTAACTAATTATGTGAATTGAGGTCAGCTCAGTGTTTGAATTTTCATCAAAAGGAATTTTGACTTATTAGCGTATTCGAAATAACTTAGGTCGATTTCCAGTTCGGAAGAAAGATTTAAATATTAAATACTCGTACTTTGTCTGAAAATATCACAGATTTCCACTGTTCCTATACATGTAACATCCAAATTTTCGTTCTTGACCCGTACACGTCGATCGATATTGTCAAAATTGCACAAAACCCGCATGGTGTCTAATTTATCCTTTATCACTATTTATTAAACAGTTCTTGTATATTTACCATTTTCTGTAGCAATAATATCATCTAAATTGCGCTGACAACCTTTATTAATTGTATAAAAATTATTGCTTTTTTGCTTTCAATGTGTTCCTGTGCTATAATAGCCCCACGCGACTTTTAATGCAAACGGGGAGTAACTCTAAAACTTTTATCTCGATCGATGCCAACAATTTATATAGTAAAACCTAATTATATATTTATCATTGAAAGCAAACAAACAAGCAAACTAAATAGAAAACAATGGGGCAGGATATTTTGAGAGGGGCAGGTGGGGATGAGAATTTAAAGATTAATTTTATCTGGCCAAAGGAAGGATATTTTTCTCAGTAACTCTTGCTACGGTTGATATAGGCCTAAATCTTAAATGGAGTTCTGTGTGCCAGTGGTAACTTTGCCTACCGTATGGTCTTTCTGGTGAAAAAACGAAATGTTTCTCAATTATAGCTAAAAGCTGACAATTTTTTTTTTAAATTTCATTAACCTAATTGATAAATGCAAAAACTGTCTTTTTTTTTTTTTTTTTACATTCCTTTTTCAAAAACACATTTCGATAATAAGCCAAATATCACATTAGATGTCAAAAGAGCAATAGATTAACAAAATACTCTCTGATTATTTTGCTGAAAAGTAAAATCTGCATTGATTTGAAAATCAGGGAGTAAATACACTTTGAGGTAAAAAATTATCTGGAGCTCTGGATATATGTATACAGATGACACACAGAAAATTTTTAAACCTTTCTCCAAGGGCACTGGTTAAAAAAGCTATTTTTTTTTAATTCACAATGTGTTCTAATCACTCACCTAAGTTTGATTAATCTACAATATTTTGTGTACATAGATATTTAAAAAAAAAAAAAAAAGAAACGCTATATGTGTATGATTTGTTTTAAAGCAAGAGCCTCAAAACTTTATAGAATCAGCCATCATACAATAAACAGGACATTTGTCCCCCTACCTTATATCTTGTGCTTCCTCTTGGTTATTTCTGGAGATCTTACCATAAATCCTTGCAACATTTACTGATTTTTCTTGTAATCAGTTTCTTGCTACTCCTGGTGACTTTACTGAAATTTATCGGTTTTCTTGCTACTCCAGGTAATCTTTACTGACCTTTCTTGTTATTGGTTTTCTTGCTACTCCAGGTAACCTTTACTGACCTTCTTTATTATTAGTTTTCTTGCTACTCCTGGTGACCTTTACTGACCTTTATTGTTACTCGTTTTCTTGCTACTCCTGGTGACCTTTACCGAGCTTTCTTGTTATCGGTTTCCTTGCTGCTCCTGGTGACATTTACTGAGCTTTCTTATTGGTTTTCTTGCTACTCCTTGTGACCCTTACTGACCTTTATCGGTTTTTCTTGCTTCTCCAGGTAACCTTTACTGACCTTCCCTGTTATTGGTTTTCTTGCTACTCCTGGTGACCTTTACTGACCTTTATCCATTTTCTTGCTACTCCTGGTGACCTTTACCGACCTTTATCCATTTTCTTGCTACTCCTGGTGATCTTTACTGACCTTCCTTGTTATCCGTTGTCTTGCTACTCTGATGACCTTTACTGACCTTTCTTGTTATTGGTTATCTTGCTACTCTTGGCAACCTTTACTGATCTTTCTTGTTATTGGTTATCTTGCTACTCTTGGCAACCTTTACTGACCTTTCTTGTTATTGGTTATCTTGCTACTCTTGGCAACCTTTACTGATCTTTCTTGTTATTGGTTATCTTGCTACTCTTGGCAACCTTTACTGATCTTTCTTGTTATTGGTTATCTTGCTACTCTTGGCAACCTTTACTGATCTTTCTTGTTATTGGTTATCTTGCTACTCTTGGCAACCTTTACTGATCTTTCTTGTTATCGGTTTTCTTGCTACTCTTGGCAACCTTTACTGATCTTTCTTGTTATTGGTTATCTTGCTACTCTTGGCAACCTTTACTGATCTTTCTTGTTATTGGTTATCTTGCTACTCTTGGCAACCTTTACTGATCTTTCTTGTTATTGGTTATCTTGCTACTCTTGGCAACCTTTACTGATCTTTCTTGTTATTGGTTATCTTGCTACTCTTGGCAACCTTTACTGATCTTTCTTGTTATTGGTTATCTTGCTACTCTTGGCAACCTTTACTGATCTTTCTTGTTATCGGTTTTCTTGCTACTCTTGGCAACCTTTACTGATCTTTCTTGTTATTGGTTATCTTGCTACTCCTGGCAACCTTTACTGACCTTTCTTGTTATTGGTTATCTTGCTACTCCTGGCAACCTTTACTGATCTTTCTTGTTATCGGTTTTCTTGCTACTCCTGGCAACCTTTACTGACCTTTCTTGTTATTGGTTATCTTGCTACTCTTGGCAACCTTTACTGACCTTTCTTGTTATCAGTTTTCTTGCTACACCTGTTGACCTTTACTGACCTTCCTTGTTATCCATTGTCTTGCTACTCTGATGACCTTTACTGACCTTTCTTGTTATCAGTTTTCTTGCTACACCTGTTGACCTTTACTGACCTTTCTTGTTATTTGTTTTCTTGCTACTCCTGGTGACCTTTACTGACCTTCCTTGTTATCCATTGTCTTGCTACTCTGATGACCTTTACTGACCTTTCTTGTTATCAGTTTTCTTGCTACACCTGTTGACCTTTACTGACCTTCCTTGTTATCCATTGTCTTGCTACTCTTGGCAACCTTTACTGACCTTTCTTGTTATTGGTTATCTTGCTACTCTTGGCAACCTTTACTGATCTTTCTTGTTATCGGTTTTCTTGCTACTCTTGGCAACCTTTACTGACCTTCCTTGTTATCTGTTTTCTTGCTACTCCTGGTGACCTTTACTGACCTTTCTTGTTATCGGTTTTCTTGCTACTCCTGGTGACCTTTACTGATCTTTCTTGTTATCGGTTTTCTTGCTACTCCTGGTGACCTTTACTGACCTTTCTTGTTATCGGTTTTCTTGCTACTCCTGGTGACCTTTACTGACCTTTCTTGTTATCGGTTTTCTTGCTACTCCTGGTGACCTTTACTGATCTTTCTTGTTATCGGTTTTCTTGCTACTCCTGGTGATCTTTACTGACCTTTCTTGTTTTCGGTTTTCTTGCTACTCCTAGTGACCATCTGTAGACGTTTCTTCTCCTCCCTCTCCTTCTCATCATTGAGGTCAATAAATTTATAGACTTTAAATGCATTATCTCCCTTTCTAACACCGAGATCCCTAAGCTCTATAACATCTGGTAAACTGTTCAAAGCACAGCGAAAATTTGCTTTCCAGCGTTTATGATTCCCATCATGGTGACGACCTTTAATCAAAAATTATAAAAAATTTAAATAATAAAACTAAATGGTATCAACATTCAAAGGAAATGTATTGATTTAAGATTAAGTATGACAAATGCTACACTCATTTACGATCCTGTCTTTGAGAAGAGAATTGCTAACCTGTATGATAAGCCCATCTTTCAAACAGATCAGAGTCTCTGGTTCTGTTAAAACAGTTGTGTGCTGCATGTTTCCATGAAATGCGGAAGATGCGCTGTGTTCGGTTTTGCCAGGAGAGGCCCGGAATACTACCACTATCAAGGTGCTCAAGGAGCCAGGGCCTCATCTTCTGTCGTTCTACAGGTCTGATAGGTCGATAATTCATCGTGTAGCCATGTTCTCCTGGATTGTCATCCTCCTCAGCCAGAACCAGTTTAATAGAGCCTTTTTCACTGGCTGCCATTACGTTTGCCACCACGACATTTTCATTGTCTATCTCCACCACCTCCTCCACATATTGTGTTACCGTGGTGACCTCATCCTCCGGGGATTCTTTACTCTCTATGGTGATCACCTTTCCCTCCTCCCCGGGGTCTGACTGACTGTTGGCTGGGTACTCATAAACATAGATGGTTTCTTCTGTTGCTTCCCTTTCTGTCTCCTCCATATTGTTACATCTACAATTTTTATCACATTACATAATACTCTTTGACCAATTCTACATAAAACAGCTATAAATTTGAATATGTATAATGTACCCTTTCTCCTGATATTCATTCCTAACTCCATTATATAATCAACTAAAAACATTTACATGAGAACAAGACATGGCAACATGTGCGCTCCAACCAAATGGGACCATGATTTAAAGAAATATCAAACCTTCTGCATGAGATGTTGCATATTTAAAATACGAGAAATTATAGCAGCTGTATATCTACTTTGAAAACAATTTAATTTCCTTAATATTTTCAGAAGCATAATTAAATAACAGAGATTTGCAACTCGGTTATTAACAGGTTTATCTTTTCCTGTTCCTGATTCAGCATCATTAATTTGAAGTACTCTTTATTACTGGTTTTATATAATTTTGATCTACAGATAAATCAATATTAATTCTATTATATATTTAAGGTTTGAAAACTATACATTGATTAACAAAAGCAAATACATCAGTAAAAGTGGTGAGATTTCAGAGATATGGCCCACCACAGTTCATCTGTTGGTCAATCAGAGTCCTCCTCTCATTGATAATATGTAAAATAAAGAAACCTACCAAAATAAAGAATTCAAAATAATTTTTTTGATATTAATAAAAAAGTTATCTTTGTTATCATTTTAAGGATTTGTGTGATTTAAACGTGCAAGATTGGGATTTGGAGAGAGTAAACAATATGAGATATTATGAAATTTTTAATGTAACAGTTATTTATCACTCAAGCTCAATAAAATGGTGCAAATGATGTCGCTGGTGGTTAAGCGTAAAAAAATAATGAAATGTCAAAGAAAATACTTTTTGAATGAATGCATGAATATGTAACCTTTAAGGAAAAAATACAAAAATGAAGTGAACAAATCAAATTGAGATATTTTATTTGGCATATAGTGATTTTTTGAAACGTACGTTACTGTCGCCAACATTGAATTATTACACTTAAATGGCTATTTTTTGTACAAATAACAGTTGAATCTTAAATTAGATAGCATATGTCTTCAAAACATTTATTTGTAAAATGCTTTTAATAAATTATTGAGCATAATCACAAATATATTACCAAACTTTGATTTGATATCCCCATGTCGCCAGAAACAAAATAAAAACGGACTGTGACATTGAATATAGTATGAGTATTTGGTATTGTATGCCTGTAAGATTGGAATACGTTTTATTTTGAAGGAAACTTCTTGAAAATTAAAAATAAATGGTACAAAGCCTTGTATATGTTACCAATACTTTGAAATTACATTCTATCTTCCTATTTTACATGCGTATGGATAGGCATGAAACATTCGTTGTATTAGTTTAATAGATGAAATAGAATGATATCATAGTTAAACATGTGATACTTTTTCTTCTATCCAACAACTGTATTCCATGCTCCAACCAAGATTTAACAATGTCTTATTGTTAGCTTACTATTTAAGAGAAAATGATAAAATGAAACAACCGTTACCGAAACATTCGTTACCAAACCTCTTAAAAAAGAATGATTTATGGGTTCAAACATCTTCTGCACATATTCGTAGTCAAATATTTTGCGTCAGTATTCAAATTTTGACATCCGGAGTACGGTACTGCCTTTTTATGATTTTTTTTCTAAAGTCTGGATAGTGTTGGTGAGTTTGTTTTCTAGAATGCAATAACAATGAATCAAATGGAATGAATTAGTATGTAACTGTTAATATTTATATAACGACAGACAACAACTACGCAACCAGTATCAATCTACACCTGAATGCCCTCTATTAGTCTTGAAAAGTGTTGAAACATTCGTTACCAAAGGTAACGAATGTTACAAAATTTTTAACAAATCATATAGGAAAATTGCAACAATATTTACAGAATTTCTTTCATGACTAATTGTTCGAATGTAAACTTTATTGATTGATTTGTATCATTTTAAGCTTAAGTTGCATAAATTTTAATATAAACTGATTCTAGAGACGCATTATTGAACACACACATTAATTCTGAAGAAAAAACATTAATTGAAATTATTTTGAAAGACATTTTTAGATTGAATCATATGATATTGATTAAACAAAGGCTTGAGTTTCTATTCTGAATCTACATCAGAGTTTTTTGTTTCTCTCTTATAATTTTGATACTGTTAAACTCGCATTTTATGTTAAGTAACGTACGTTTCAGCATTTTATTTTAGTTGAACTATGGCATTGACCCAAGCAGAAATACGAAGGAAGTTTCCAATGATGGTTAAATGATTTCAAGCTAAAAGTCATCAGAAAAATTGTTATTTACATTATTTTAGGTTCTGTTAAAACGTCTATACAGACAATTTTACATATATCTCCTATCCGTTTGTACATATAGTACAGTTCAAGGAAAATATGACACGATGATATATATGATGCAGTTCAAATTATGATTTCTTTTGACATTTTCAATACCATGGCACAAGTAGAGCAGAAATAACATCTCATGAATTGGTCCATTTTGTTGGAATTAATCTTAAAAACAGTAAATATTACTTCTCATGAAACATTCGTTACATACGAACGTTGTTGCATTTGAAAGTGTAAATAAGAACAAGATCACAATTCATGAACAACATTTTATTTAACGTTTCTATAAATGGATCCTCTATTCATTTAGAACCCCCATTTGCGCTGGGCAGTTTTGATTTTTCTTGAGGCATATTTGAAATATAAAATTTTAGAGATATGTCAAATTCATTTGAAGAAAAAAATATAATACGACAATTTGACTGCATCAATTCATAAAATACATTATGACAGTTGACCTTTTTTGTCTTATCACGAAAGTAAATAGACTGATTTGCTTTTGACATTGAGGATTTATTACAATCTATATTATTTCATCCTAAAATCTTAAAGGAAAAGTATAATATGATACGTAACGCTTGTTTCTCAGCAAATAATGATCCACGATACACCTTTATTTCAAATTGACGTAATTTCTTAACCAATGAACTTAACTTGAAAAATCTTTGAGAATACAAACTTGATATGTTGATCTATCCGAAAATGTTATTAGCAGATGGATAATCAAAAGTCGATTTTTGAAGAAAAAATATCTTGAATTGCACCAATTTATTGAGTTTGGGTGTTATGTCTCTGATATTTCTACACATATTTCTTACTCCATATCTCAAGTGAATCAATGTATGAGTATGACTGTAATTATTTTGGTTGTGGGAAAAGAAAATGCTTATGGAAGAGAAGGGGAGCTTTGATATATAAAGATTTTGTATACCTTTTCATTCTTATAACCATATATTTATCCTTAGTATATATCTGAAAAGTTCAGCATTCACTTAAAATGAAATGACTTCAGTTTCTTTAAACTGTATTATCTTTAAACAATTATAAATCGTTATCACACCATCATGACCATTCGCTTTAGCTTAATTTGACACCCCCTTGGAACCCCAAAGCCTCGTTCTGATTTGACCTACTTTCAACACATTAAACGAAGATGAGCATGCCTTTGCGCTAAAAAAAAATACCATTTCCCTACTATATTACATGAAAAATTAATCGCAACTGTACTTCAACAACCCTTGTCCTTATAAATTACTATATACACGAAAATATCCAAAATCTTTGCACGCAGTCTGCACTTGCAGATTGTAAAACTACCAAATACTTAATAATCGCAGGCGCCATCTTTGAAAAGAAAGTAGGGGACTTGTGTTTTACTTTCGATATACTATTTCGTAAATTCACACTTTGGTACTGTGGTTTCTCTGTTATTCAGACCGTACATGGAAAATTCAAACCTACCACATCGAATTATTATAGTATACATGCAAAATATTTTCAAATATACCAGATTTTTAAAATGCTTTAGTTCTACTTTCGAGATATATACATGCATTTGGTTTCGTTTTCAAACACGATTTAGAAAGTCGGATATTCCATTAAATACTGGAAGATTAAGTTTAACTTACATTATGTCAGGTTGTTTGTTTCTTCTTCTATCTTCCTCTTTCAGTTTGGAACCAATCTTCTAATTCAAACGCATATGTCTGCGACCTTACAACAACACCTTGACAATATAGAAACTAAAACGCTGCCTCTAACTCATTAGCATATTCATAGGAAGTAAAGACGTTCTCAAATTTTGATTGGTCAAATTTATTCATCATACATACCATATATGTCTTGCGCGGATCTAAACAGAGAAACTGTAAAAATTAAAAATATAATATACACATAATTTATATATGTGGACCGATTGTTGTTCAGTGGGAAAAGATTGGGGGGGGGGGGGCTTGCAATGCCTTTTTTCAATCAAACCACCCACACCACAGCCCACCATAGAAGTGTGAATTTTTTTTATGCACGAAGATTCGGGGTTTTTATAGTTTTTGCCCTGTCCTTCCGTCTGTATGTCTGTCTGTTTGTCCGCAAAAACTTTAACATTGCTCATAACTTTTTGATTGGTTGGAGCTGTGGCTTTCATATTTCACATACATGTGTATTCCATGTGACAAGACCTTCTTTGGGTACCATATCATATTTGACCCTTTGACTTTTGAACAGTTGAAGCTAGGGCCTTCATAGTTCAAATATGTAATCCTTGTGACAAGACCTTTCTTTGGATATCAATAACTTTACCTTGACCTCGGAGTTTAACCTACTTTTGAAAAACTTTAACCTTGGCCATCACTTCACATATGTAATCCTTGTGACAATATCCTCCTGGATTCCAACAATTTTGACCTTGACCTTGGAGTTTGGCCTACTTTTGGAAAACATTAACCTTGGCCATAACTTTTGAACAATTGGTGATAGGGCTTCAATATTTTACATGTCTAATTCTTGTGACAAGACCTTCTTTGGATACCAACAATTGCAATCCATTGACCTTGACCCTGGAGTTTTGACCTACTTGAAAAACTTTAAACTTGGTCACAACTTTTGAACGATTTGTGCTTGGTCTTTCATATTTCACCTGTGTATTGTTGGGAGAAGGCCTTTCCTTCGGCACCATTAATTTTGCCCATTTAACCTTGACCTTGATGTTTGACATACTTTTGAAAATGAAGATGGGTGAACATGACGAGCGAAAAGCCTATAGTGTGACAAACATGAAGGTGAAAAATTAAATCTTAAATACTGTATATCAAATTTTTCCTTGATATTTCATCTAACATTAAATCATACTTAATGCAAAATCTCTATAATTTACAAAAATCTCACAAATATTGAAACTATTTGCTTATAAAATGTTATACACATACCAAAGAGGCAAAAAGAGTCATTTCTCATACTATGTCACTATTTTTCGATATGAGTAGGTCTTTGCTCCATTTTTTTGAAAGTTAATCCTCAAAGTTTGCACAAAAAATATATTTTTTGGTTAACAAAAATATGGAGCAAAAATCCACTATACCTTAAAAATATACTTTTATGACATAACATTCGCATCCTTTTGAGAAATACTTGAAGTCCATTAAGTCAAGGGTCATATCACAAACATGATTTAAATGCCACTATTTCATCAGGACTTGTGTAGTGTATTGGTTAGCGTGCTAGTCTCGAAAGAAAATGACACGCAGGATACCACTTTTTTTTTAATAAAAGAATATATTTTGCTGAGAAAGTTTTCCTCAGAAAAGTTTTGTTTATCAAAATTTCATAAATTTCAATGATGAGAACTTGACTCTCAATACTAAATTCACAAACTGAACACGAATTTTATATATCTGAAGCTATGGGCTTTCTGCACGCTATGTTCGCCCATCTCCTTTAAACTTTTAATTCCATATCTATTCAATGGTTCTGCTAGGGCACAGGTATATTCTTCGAGACAACACCTTACTTTGGGTACCAACATATTTGATTTTCATTTGAGAAAGTTTAACCTTTGCTATAAGTTGCCATACGGGGGCATCAGTGTTTCACAAACACATCTTGTTTTCAAAGTTTTTCCTCTAATATTTTTTTATCCAAATAAATTATGGGAACAAACACAGTCTTTTTTTTATCTGGAAAATACACATTGAAATTTGTGACAACACAAAAGTTTCAAATTACTTCGCATAGTCAATTATTTGACCTTTCTGCACTCAAAAAATGTCATATTTCTGGCAATGTTAAAAATTTAACAAGCAATAAAATCATTTGAAAGTAATGACATTTTTTCTTAATTAAAGAAGAATGGTTAAAATTATCTTATATTTATAGAAAAGAAAATTAAAAGTGGGGTCTGTGATGTTTACTTTTAGATATTACTAAAATATAATTGTTAATTTTAGCTTAAAGTGGGCTATTTTTTTTCCAGCCGGACTTTCACAATTTATTTATTATCTTTGTCAAACGTGATGATAGAATTCATGACAGTTAATTTATTATATAATTTAGGACCAGCATAAAACATTTCACTGCACAAGATAACTCTGAGTGCAGGCTGCATGTAAAAAACATGAATGCAAACTTAACAATACTGTAAATACTTCAAAGGAGAAAAATTGAATTGATCATTTTCTTCTAATGAAAAAACCTTCCGCTACAAAATATAGTTCCTCACTTAATGCTTTTCTATGGGATTTAATCACGGGGTTAAATTACGTTTTAATTGAATAAAGTTTAATCAGCATTGTAGAATCCAAATTTATTGTTTAAGTTTTTTTTATTTACGAGAATGCTATCAATTCCCTCTCTGGGACAGTGCTCTTTGAAGTATAAAACTTTGAAGAAATCTTCATATAAAAATTAAAGTTCTGAACCCGATATTGCACATGGTTTACTGATTTGCATAAATTCTAATGATCATTTGCTTTCTCACACATTTCAATATTTCACCGTCATACCTTTTTTCTCGTTGCGGAAACAGTACGTAGTATATTTCATGTCATAAAAATGAAAAAAAAAATAGCATTAGTATTCAGTTGTTACTTTAAAGTAGCACCTGATACGTTGCAGAAAATGGCATGTTTAACAATTTTAAAATTAACAGAATATTATGAAAAGTAATGAATATTTCTTACATTTATATTTCATAATTAAATATATTAAAATGGTTGTTTATGACTAAGATTGCATATTTTAGAGAAATATTTATCGGGTATTATTTATTGTTTTTTCGATAAATTTTTTTCCCAAAATTCCCCCCCCCCCAAAAAAAACCCCCTCAAATATATACATTTTTAAAGTTGACCTAAATACGATACATATGATTTCACACATTTTTTTATTGTACCAAAGTCAAGAAATATGATGTCAGAATTCAAAGTCCTCCGAGTGAACTGCAAATGATTACTCCACCTCCAGGAAAAATAAATTTTCCAAAGTTCACCCATCGCAACTTTACAAGGAATCCAGCCTCATCATTATTGTGCATGTTTTTTTTAAAAATTAAATTCTCTTAATCTTCCTGATCCCATTTGACTGCCATCTATAAAGTGGTAACCCCCCTCCCCCCGGAAAAAAATCATAAAGTCAATCAACGTCTCGTTGTAATGAGTGTGCTGCTGCATGTCTTCTCCTCCATTATATATCGTTCCTTAATTAGACTGATCAGTAAATTGGAAAATCTACAAATCATAGTGGAGACAATGCATGAAGTGCACATATACAGATCCCTTCTCTCTCAAATTAGGAAATAATTTACCTCAGTGATTAAATGAAGTAAAGTTGATAGAGAAAAACCTAACAAAAGGATTCTTTTATGAACTTCATTTTGTGTAAGACAATGTTTATATGAAACAAAGTTTACTAGGAATATTTTCAAATTGGTTACCAATATTGACAAAAAATTAGAGCTAAAGGCATAAGTGAGCAACAGACGTCGCAAGTTATTTGTTTTACAAGCAGAGCTAAAGGTTATGTTTTTAAGTGAAGTCCATTTGGTCACATTACTAGTACTCATGGCTAATTAACATACTCTAGTATGTAATTATAATTCAGCCTGGAGATTGAAGCGATTGTAACAACTCATTAAAGAATTACTGATAATTACGTAAAATTAAAAAAAAAATTGAAAATGTTTAAAGTAATGATAAAAATGTCTAATGGAAATTTTTATCTGTGATACAACATTAAATTAAAAGTGGCAGGACAAAAATGCATCTTTTGGCAATTGCATACAGATATTCAAGACGGTTTTGGAATTTTATTCTTCACCCTAAGGATCCCCAGGGGCTTAAAGGGGGCGGATCCCTTAGGAATGTTTCTTACTCGAACTCTAAACCTATATATTTTGCGTTTTGAAAAATTTCATCTGTGTATTATGATATATATAGTGATGCCAAGGTTTCAGATGCTGCAATTGACGTATAGAATGACTGATAAGGATAAAATCTTTCATGAGATGAATTCCAAAGTAGCTACAGTTCCTATGTCGACGTACTTACATGTAAATAAATAATGAGTCGGATTCTACAATCTACATGTGATTAAAATGCGTAACCTTTTCCATATCATACCTGTATCAGCCAAAAGAGCTTCATCCTAGGTACCAAAAGCCCGGATATTGGCTTTTGTTATACCTTTAAAAATTTGTTCCTATATAAATCAATACTAATAAAAGTCTAACATTTCAAATGTTTTACTGAGCGGGCATTAAAAAAATCGATGTTTGACCGCGGAGTGAGATATTGGACCTGTCGATGAGATGTTTGACCGCTTACGTCTCATTATATGCGGGGTCAGCTAAATCTCATTTGCATTCGTTTGTGTACGACATAGATGTATGTAAAAAAAATATAAAAATAAATAAATAAAAGGTATAACAAAACATTTATTGACTGGGTTCTCGGGCAAAATGCGTTTTGTCGACCCCTCGAACCAAACTGTTTGCCTTCGGCCTAACGGCCTCAGGCAAATAGTTTGGTTCTTGGGTCCGACAAAACGCATGTTGCCCTCGAACCCAGTCAATAAATGTATAATATTGGTAGAGGCTGTGAAGTGGAAAAGGGTTTGTTAATTTACACACTAAGTAATTACATGCTTAAAAATAACATACCGAATACAGCTACTTGAATAAATACAATTAAATAATATTGTTATATTCAGTAAAGAATAGTCCCTATATTCTCTATATAGAGAATCAGTCAACGTAATTGATATTAGCTCTTCCGAAAAATATTGACCGGTCATTTAATTTTAACTATTGACCGACAAAGAGAGTTTCCCCCACATTTTTATCGATTTGGATTCTGATATCATAAGAAGATAAGAAGATTGATTTATTGTGACGTAATGATACCGTCGCGACTTCCAAAAAAACATAATGTCCCAACAGAAAAACCAAGTAACACAATCAAGGCAAGATATGCTAACACTAGGTCTATGCTCAAGATGCAGATAATTTATTTAAAAGAAAATCCTATTTTACTGATTTGTTTTTCGTATAACAGAACAATTACTGACTGTGTTTTCGGGCAACATTGATTATGTTAGCCTCCTTAGGATAAAATATGGTCGTGGTTTGTTCCCATTTCGCCATAACTGTAAAATTTGCCATTCCCATTTCGCCTTAGTACCTTCTGGGGTTTATTAAGGCGAAATGGAAACTTGTGTAAACATATAATTATGCGTATAAATATTGTTTGCATTGCATAGCAAAATTTCTTAGATTTCAGAGATTTCAAATTATTTGCTCACAGTGAAAATGAGTGATTTTGTGAAAAACAGATGAAAAAGTTAAGTCGATAGACTCAAAGCATAAAAAACTGTAGAAAACTGACTTAATACATTTAAGATTTAAATGAAACATTTAATCTATACTTTGCATTTTCTAAGATACTTCATCCATAAAATAATTCACATTTTCATGAATAACATGACGCTCCGCGTCGGGCAATATTTCATCCCTTGGAGGCTAACATAATCAATGTTGCCCTCAACCCCAGTCAATATTTGTATATTGTCCAGTTTGACTTTGATCTTGTGACCTCAAAATCAAAAAGGGTCATCTAATCATTCTAATAATCTAATCATGCCAAGCAAAATCTTCTCGAAAATTGAGCAGACATCCTCCTATGTCTAAAAGTAGTTTGACTTCTGACCTTTAACATTGTGACATCAGTGTTCAATTACTCCTTAGTGGAAAGTTTGTTTGAAGCAAAGGGTTCTCGATTGGTCAATACCCCTATGTCCAGTTTGACCCTTGACCTTTGATCTTGTGACCTCAAAATCAGAAAAGGTCGTAATGTGAATAATCTAATCATCAAGGGAAACCAATGTATCAAGTTTCATTTCTGCAAAGCAAAGTGTTCTCAAAATATTGAACATACATCATCTTCCTGTGTCTAAAGTAGTTTGACCCTTGACCTTGTGACATCAAAATCTACAGTGGAAATCCAGTGTACCAAGTTTGATTTCCGTAAATCAAAGGGTTCTGAAGATATTAAGTGTGTAATCTCTCCCTAAGTCCAGTTTGACTATCGTTCCCTGACCTCGAAATAAGTAGGGGTCATTTACTCCTTAAGGGGAAGCTGTGTATTACGTTGATGTCTATTAGGCAATTAAAAGGTTTTCAAGATATTGTGGGGTCATATTCCCTGTCTAGTTTGACCTTTGACTTTTGATATTGTAACCTCAAAATCAATAGGGGTCATCTACACCTTAAAGGAAACCAAAATATCAAGCTTAATGATTCTCAAGGTATTGAACAATTGAAATATCTTTCTATGACTACAGTAGTTTGACCCTTGACCATGTGACCTTAAAATCAATAGAGATCATCTGCTCTTCAGGGGATACCAGTGTACTAAGTTTGACGTTTGCCAAGCAAAGGATTCTCAAGAAATTGAGCAGACAACACGTGGTCTACCCACCAATCAGCCCATCGAGTTACCAACCCATGGACCGACATGTTCAAAGCAGTATGCCCCCTTTTTTTCAAGATTTAGGGGAGGATAAAGATTTTTAAGTTTTTTTTTACAAGGATTGCTATATATTTACATCATGTATACACACCCTTGTTAATCAGTATCAGCACTGCAGTATCCGTATCAGCCCGGAGGCTGATATAGCTATTGTAAACTAAGGATTATTGCATCTGCAAAAACACCGGATTTATTTAAGGAATCACTGTCTAGTTAGTAGATTATGCCAGGGCATCAACGATAGTTGGAAACGTGGGATAATTTATGCATAACGGGCTTCGCATTTTGAAATAAAATTGTAAATATAGATTTTAAAAAAGTAGACTAATAGATTTAAATTACACGAGGTCTCACATGTCAATTTCAATAGTCCCCGCCCACTGACGTCAAACACAAAGACAGCCGCACGAGAATTACATGCATATTAGGCCTCCTTAGAGTCAGACACAAAGACAGCCGCACGAGAATTACATGCATATTATGCCTTCTTAGCTACTGACCTTTCGCTTGGCAAAATTTGCATTCCGTTAGAATGATCAAAAAATCAACTCTCTTAGCTTTCAAAGAGTTATCACAGAGAAAACAAATAGAAATGGAAATATTACTAGATATGTTATAAATATGTATATCAACTCAGCAATAACATGTCATTGAAGAAAAGAAAAGAACGTGACATTTGATAACACAATAGCTAACAATGAAGTTGTAGCGGCTACAATGTCCCACGCCTTACTGACGTCTTTCCACGTGATCATTGATTTGTCGTCACCTTCTGAGGTACCCTGGGATGCCAAATCCATTTTGTCGCCACTGGATTCGGTTTTTTGTGAAACAGGTTGTAATTTATTCGAATTTCGTCGTTTACAAATTAAGCATCGTGTACAAAGACTCAGACATTTGGGGATATCATGTTCTTCTTCTCTAAGATAAAACACGAGACTGACCACTACACAGGCGTGTATAAAGATGCTGATGAAAAAGTCCACAAATAGCTTGTAGACAATGTTGGCAAGTCTTGGCAGAGTGGAGTTTGGTAACTGGTCATTAATGATGGTCAGGTAAACTGCAATGGCTAAAATGACTGTGGTCGAGAAACCGACCCTCTCTCCCGATTCTGCAGGAAGGATGAACACTGTGAGATGTAAGATGGCGATACAGATCATTGGAAATACTATGTTGTACATGTATGGGTCAGATTTCCGAGAGAATGTGAACTCGGTGCTCAATCTACTCCGCATGTCTAAATCAGTTGTACTTATCCGCGATTTTTCGTCAATATCCCAGAGGGAATTTTTTTGTGCTTTATCCATTGTCAAAGAGCAACTGGTAAAATCGACTTGACTTGAAGTGTAACCTAAGAAGAGGAAGTTCATCTGGCAGCGCTGTTTGTCATAGGGGAAGTTTGTTATGTCCACACTGCACGTACTCTCTAACAACTCTAGGAAATTCCATTTAACAAGCCCAGAGGGGGATACAGACACTAACAGTTTGTCGGAACCAAACCCTTGATAATTTGAATAAGCGTTTGCAAGAATAAGATGTGGAACCCAAATTGAATTTTGAGTAAAGTGAGTTTCAGTGATCCCGTTATTTGTACCAGGGTTCCACGAAAGGCGTTCGTCTATCCACGTGATCAGAAACGATAATCTTGCGGCAAACAGGCCCGTCGTTTCCGAGAAGTCGTGAAGGTTGATGAAACTGATGGTGAGAGTTACGTTGGTAGCCTGACTTTGATCCGCACCTGGGCGTAGATCCTTGTTATAGTTCTGTAACAGTGTAGATGAAAGGGATGTAAGGTCAGTCACAGAGTATGACGTCACTATGACAAACAGACAAGGAAACCAACACAATCGTCTTGTGATCACCATGACTGTATGATGATTCCCTACAAAAAAAGAAAGGACACTTTATTAGAATAAACTTACGTTACAAACAAGACTTTGCAAAAACATAATCAGGATTCTGGAAAGGGGGGGGGGGGGGTGGCCGAACTAGGGTTTAGGAGAGGTACCATAATTGTTTAAAACTGGGTACCATTTTGTTGTGTATTCTTTGAAGTCATTTTTCACAGATTAAAAACAAAAGTCTAACACCATCACTTTAAACAGATGAATATTGAAATATGAAGATGACAAACTGTAATTAACCTCAGCAATACAAATTGGGAGTAGAGCATGGACGGACTTTTAAAAACATCAGAGGTAGGATAAGGTACCATGAAGGAGTAAGCATCCCATGTCGACCGGTCACATCCGCCGTGTGCTCTTTGTCATGATCAAGCAAGAAAAATTTGTAGACAATTTAGTGTGAAAATAATGGCCTAATAATTTGTATGAAAAATATCAGTCAGCATTCGACTTAAATAGTATTGCTTACAAGCCAGAAGGTCATTGTATCGACAATAAAATTTGCGAAGTGTTGACTTTAAAAGGGACTGTTGATATTTTTGATATATCATCAACTTATTTGCCTAATTTTATAAATTGTTCGTGCGTAGTGCATGCTCTTGCGTATCGAATCAACTGGGAGACATAAATTCTATATGCAGGTGATAATGGTATATTGCTACATAAATAGGTGATATCACATATTTGAATAGGTGATATCACCAATTCAAAAGCTAAATAGGTGATATCACCAATTCGAAAAGGTGATATCCTTTTCGAATAGTTGATATTACCAAATGAATAGCTGATATCACTTATTCAAATAGGTGACATCACTTAACTGCAGTAAATAACAAAACGGTCCCTCCTACAAAAGTTGTATTAATTTTAACTAGTTTCTTTCCAGTTTATGGGCCTGAGCACTGTTTTCATGATTTTAGAAACGGGTCTCTCATTTGTAATGATTACAGCTTCAGGCAATTCATCTCTTTTTCTCTTTAATAATAAAATGCAAACATTCTTGATGTATTCAATGGAGTGCAAATATATAGTGATACTTATCATCTCATTGAATAATTATCTTTGTTATGTTACTGTATTATGATTTTATCATGTCATGGTATGATGATACTTTATCAATTCACTATGAAATGATACTTTGTCATGTCATTTAATGATTATGCTTTATCATGTTATTAAATGATTATAAATACTTTATCATGTCATTAGATGATTATACTTTAACATGCCATTGAATGATTATACTTTATCATGGCATTGAATGATTATACTTTATCATGTCATTGAATGATTATACTTTATCATGTCATTGAATGATTATACTTTATTATGTCATTAAATGGTTATACTTCATCATGTCATTGAATGATTATACTTTATTATGCTGGCCATTAAATGATTATACTTTATTATGTCATTGAATGATTATACTTTATCTTGTCATGAATGATAATACTTCATTATGTCATTTAATGAGTATACTTTATCTTGTCATTGAATGATAATACTTCATTATGTCATTTAATGATTATACTTTATCTTGTCATTGAATGAAAATACTTCATTATGTCATTTAATGACTATACTTTATCATGTCATTGAATGAGTATACTTTATCATGTCATTGAATGATTATACTTTATCATGTCATTGAATGAGTATACTAATTATCATGTCATTGAATGATTATACTTTATCATGTCAGTAAATGATTATACTTTATCATGTCATTGAATGATTATACTTTATCATGGCATTGAACGTTTATACTTTATTATGTCATTAAATGATTTTATTACATTTTCAACAGTAAAATACTGTGATTTATTTATTGAATAAAAGTGATATTCTCTCACAGTGTGAAAGAATACCAAAAATGATATTCTCTCACAGTGTAAAAGGATATCATAGTATGTAAAAAATAATTTCTGGCCTGTCATAAGATAGAGATAGTAACTAAGTATCTTGATAGAGCTAAAACTGCAAATTTCTTCCTAAATATGTTGCTAAAATCCATGCTATGTAATGTTTTCAGCCTTACACACAACTTCTAAGCTATGACGTCTCAACCGCTCAACTATGACGTCAAGCCTATGACACTGTGTTAAGAAAAGACAGAGGCAAAGGGAAAATCAAAGAAAATGTAATAAACAGAAAATTCAATGTTTTGTAGATGAATATGGAATTTAATTCACTCATGAGGCAGGATTTTTTGATATTTTCACTCGTGCTTCGCACTCGTGAAAATATCAAAAAATCCTGTCCCACTCGTGAAATAAATTCCATATTCATCTACAAAACATTGAATATCCTCTATATACTTTATCATGTCATTGAATGATTATACTTTATCATGGCATTGAATGATTATACTTTTACATGGCATTGAATGATTATACTTTATAATGTCATTGAATGCATTATTATGTCATTGAATGATTATACTTTATTATGTCAGTGAATGATTATAATTTATCATGTCAGTGAATGATTATGCTTTATCATGCCATTAAATGATTATGTTTTATTATGTCATTTAATGATTGTACTTTATCATGTAATTAAATGATTATACTTTATTATGTCATTGAATGATTATACTTTATCATGTAATTAAATGATTATACTTTATCATGTCATTGAATGATTATACTTTATCATGGCATTGAACGATTATACTTTGTTATGTCATTAAATGATTATACTTTATCATGGCATTGAATGATTATACTTTATCACGCCATTGAATGATTATACTTTATCATGTATTGAATGATTATACTTTATTATGTCAGTGAATGATTATTATGTCATTGAATGATTATACTTTATCATGTAATTAAATGAGTATACTTTATTATGTCATTGAATGATTATGCTTTATTATGTCATTGAATGATTATACTTTATTATGTCATTGAATGATTATAATTTATCATGTCATTGAATGATTATGCTTTATCATGCCATTAAATGATTATACTTTATTATGTCATTTAATGATTATAATTTATCGTGTCATTGAATGATTATGCTTTATCATGCCATTAAATGATTATATTTTTATGAATGATTAAACTTTATCATGTCATTGTATGATAATACTTTGCCATGTCATTGAATGATTATTGACTTTTCATAATAAAAAACAATTATCTTATAATAACCAAGGATAATAGAAAAAAGAATGAAATAAAAGAATATCATATACTAATTGAAAATGTAAGCAAATAAATGATTAAGCATTGTCATTGGCGTATACATGATAAAGTATCATCATGTACATATAAGTTATAAAGTATCATAATAAGCATATTGATGATAGAGTATCATCATCAGCATATAGATGATAGAGTATCATCATCAGCATATAGATGATAGAGTATCATCATCAGCATATAGATGATAAAGTATCATCATCAACATATAGATGATAGAGTATCATCATCAGCATATAGATGATAGAGTATCATCATCAGCATACAGATGATAAAGTGCCATCAGCATATAGATGATAGAGTATCATCATCAGCATATAGATGATAGAGTATCATTATCAGCATATAGATGAAAGAGTATCATCATCAGCATACAGACGTTGGAGTATCATCATCAGCAAATAGATGATAGAGTATCATCATCAGCATATTGATGATTAAAATATCATCATCAGCATATAGATGATAAAGTATCATCATCAGCATGTGGATTACAAAGTAACATCATCAGCATATAGATGATAGCGTACCATTAGCGGCCTTTAAATGATAGCGTATCATCATCAGTATATAATTGATAGATAATCAGCATATAAATGATAAAATTTCATCATCAGCATATAAATGGTAGAGTATCATCAGCAGCCTATAAATGATTGAGTATTATCAGTAGCATTTGATTGATAGATTATCAGCATATAAATTATAGAATATCATAATCATATAAATGATAAAATATCTTAATCATATGTTACAGTATTAGATTTATTAATTTATTTAATAAATCTATAATGTATTTCATATGTTTTTAAATTGTAAATATAAATGCATTATTAAATCTTTAAAGGTCACCCAAGTAGAACAGGCAGTACCTGTACTTAATTATTATTGCCTTGGGTTATGAAGGTTCTGGTCTTTGGTCTTTGGTTTGAAGTATTCACTGTTTTCATTGGTTTGGACTTTGTAAGGTTGTGTTTTATTGGTTCAGTATTTTTCCCTCCAAAAAGTTGTTTGTTATGGTCATTCTTTGTCCAGTATTTGTCCAGAAAGGGTTGTATTTACGAAGTTTTATAATTATGACCTTCTGACATTGACAGAGACAATACTTTTCTCTCTTAAGTTTTATGATCTGGACATACGTGTACAGTGAGCCATATTGTGACTACAATGAATGGGAGAGGCTCAGTCCCATAGATTGGGCATTATTCCAAATTCCTTCATTGTTCCATTATTCCAACTATTCTATGTGTTCATCTGTGAATGTAATAAATGGAGATGTCAGTAGAACCCTGAAACGGACTTATTTATATTTCCATGCTCAAGATTTATAATAAGACACCGTTACACATATAAACGATAAAATATCATATAAATCAGTATATACTGATAGAATATCATAATCAGCATATCATAATATATACTGATGGAATAATATATACTGATAGAATATCATAATCAGCATATAAATGAAAGCCTAGAGTCACTATTAGCGTATAAATGATAAAGTATCATTATTAGCATATAAATAATAAAGTATCATGTAAAGTATTATCAACAGCAAATAAAAGACGAAGGGTTTAAATTATTTCCGGAAATTTAACGATTAACTGGAGCGGATCAAACCAGCTTGCCAGCCCCCCCCCCCCCCCCCCCAATAGTTTCCTTTAGTGTTTTGTGTCCCTATTACAGAACTAAACATTTAGATCTTCTATAACCATGATATACTAAACGAAACTTGAAATGAGGTATAATAATACCGCATAATTATGATTAGGACCTGCATGTAGTGCACAGAATGTGCCGAGCAGGAGGACGTATATTCTTGAATTTAATACTTATTGAAAGAAGTTGTGCATTAGATTGGTCAATCATCCCAAAAATAATACTAATGGACTCCTTTTTTGGATTATTGATGAAAAAACTTGGAATTCTAAAGCGAGACGGGAAATTGCAGAGGAAAATCATCTTTCTCATAGTATTTTTTCCGAAGATAAAAAGTCATTCCCTCCTCCACGCCACTCAACTATGCATATTTTTCATTTGGGAATCCTTTTCACAACCCTATAATATATAATGTAATATCAGACCCATAAAGGTCTACTTACCGAGAGATTTCGGTCCATGAAGTTTACAATCTGCGGTGTACTTAATTTGTGCAGGATTTTTAAAGATTTTACAAATACATATATCAATAAACGGATTAAGGAATCCGGGATCTTTTCAGTGTGATGAAAACAGAAATATTTGTACGCATTCGTCTCAAAATAACTTAGACTTGAGAACAGGGGACAATCTTATTAATGAGCGTTCTTTACGCTTAATATTTAATGAAGTATGGCTAAAATGTCAACAAAACTATCATGAAAGTGATTGCAAATACATGTAATATGTAAGGATTAATTTTATAAATGGTCAACAGGATTATCCGTACTTGGACACCAACAATACATTACTTAGACTGGAATCAATATAGCCGGACCTGTGATGGCGTTTTATTGAGAGTGCCAACATATAATTATTACAGAAAGATTCTTAAGAATATAGACATTTTCAATGATCATACGTACAAATAAATTAGATGTCCTTCAAAATGTTACATGTGTTTAATTTAGAGATTCGTTGAGTATTGATGATCGAATTGAATTATTTGAATTTACATCTAAAACAGAGGAAAAGTTGGAATAGTCTTAACTAAAACTGACCTCGGTGTGTACGTTATGTGATAAAATTCTGGCTCATTACTGATGTTTTACAGGGCAGTGATTTTCATGTTAAATTTCTGAAAACTGTATAACTGTTCTTTATCATTTTCAAACCTGCAGTACTAAAGTTCTTTTAGAATATGAATATGGCACGCAGAACAGGCTCATAGGTCACATAGGTCACCTGGCATAAAAGTGTCTAAACAGTTTGTTTTCTTTTATGTGATACTGAACCTCTACTGTGGCTTTAAGTATTTTTCATAGAAATAAAAAACAGACCATAGAAGAACTCTTTATTGCGAGGAGATAAACAATTACGTCAGGGGAGCCATATTTTGAACGGAGATTTAAGTGAATGTTTTTATGGTGGGATTTGCATGCCTAGACGGTAAGCAATGTGAAAATAATAGTGACAGAGAGTTAAATAAACAACTAAATGACTTAAATGAAGCGAACGACAGTGTCGCCTAGGTGAATAATTCTTGATATAGCCGGTCGAAGTTGGGGCTGAATTCCCAGACATGAATTATGAAGGACTGTCCCGAGACTCGGTGGGCGTCAGACCAAATATCTAGCCCAGCCGAATCTTCACCGAGATTAGCGTAATGTATAGTACACCACAGAACATTACTGTAGACCAGTTATTGTCCTTGACTATTAAATATTGATTTTCGCGACTGAGGAAATAGTCTACACATTAATACACAGTAAAATTCATGGTTTGCAACGAGAAATATTCACGATAAAAATTATGGCAAAAACGCGGATATTTTTCCATCGCGAAAAAAAAATTGGTTGACAGTACACATGTAGACTAGAGAGAAAACAAAGTACATGTATATTTACAGGTGCTTGGTTTTATTATTTATATTTAATTTATTTTCCATCCAGCAAATGAAGATCTTCCAAATCCCTCACTTAGGATGCCGCCATTACCTTTGTGTGAAGAATGCGTTTTGATATATACGTCATCACCCTGATTGACATGTGCAACTACAGTTCCGGTCCCACTGTCGTCTCTACTGCTGGCTGGTATCGCTAGTGCATATGCACTGCCGTAAACACTATTATTAATGACAATTTCCGATGAATGATATTCTGGAGATGAATTATATGCGCCAACCCTAACTGTCCAGGTGAAAACATAAAAGCCAGACTGTGGTGCGATGAAAACACCAGAGCCAGAGTGATAACCTTGTCCTTGATTGGTTTTTACGACGTCAAATTTGATGGTATGATCAGGTCCTAAGTTGGTGTGAGCCAGTACAGTTGATAAATATGCGTAAAAGGCAACGATATTAACTGTAACATCTAGTGGAGCAGTTGAAGATATCCCAGTCAACAGTCTCTCTACAATAATAAAAGAGAATCCAGAGAAAGAAAGAACAAGATACATTTATATTATGGCTACATCGTACGAGTATTGTCTAAGTAAACTTAAAAGTAAATCCTCTCATACTTTCTAAAGTTGGCTAAAGTCATATATCAACAATGATGGAGTATACACCCACACCAAACACTGAGCACTAAAAAAAATATTTGCAAAGCAGAGTTTTTGACCAAAAAAAGGACCTAAATATACAAACAAAATCATTCCGAATTATTTGGAAGGCTGACATTCAAATCATCTACTTTCTGAAGCATTTTAGCAACAAAGCTACTTCAAGTATCATGAACCTGATTGAAGCATGCAGCATTAAATCAGCATAATAACAGGCGCATCAATAAGCACTTTCAATTTTTTAAAAAAAAAAAAGCCATCAAAGCACTTTAAAAAAAACATATATCAGCATTAATGCCGAAAAGTTTTCTATGGTCATATAGCTGATGAATTACGTTGCTCTCTATGTATAAAGTGTTTTATATAGATCTAATGTAACGGTTACATTTCATACAGACCATGTCCAAGCCATCGTTTTAACTTACTACTGCAGCAACGGCTTGATATAACGTCGCTATAATCTCGTGTAAGGGAAATAATTTCAAAACTCTGACTATATTCAAAAGCCTTTCTTATAACAGTATTTGTAAAAATAACTTTGGGGACTGAAAAAGTGTACTAAGAAAAACATTTCTGGATTTCTAACAATCAATAAAATGTATGCAGATAAAACATCATCACGTTCATACCCTGTCTTTCATAATTCTTATCCCTTTTATTTATAGAATTATTCTTACTTTCCAGCCGGGCTAAAGACTTTGCAGGTACAGTGTTTGAAACATTTCTTGAAGGGAAAATATTTGATTTGTTGATTTGGTCCGGGGAGGTAAGGTTGTTTGTAGAGTTTTTTTCTGATCTGCCTCTGCCTGTTTCTCCTAGTATGGCTTGGTTAAGAACAATTCTTTGTCTTCTAACAGTTTTAATCAGGTCACTAATCCGGCTGTCCTGAATCTTTAATTTCGTCTCCAGAGTACGTACGGCACCACGTAACTCCAGCACTTCTTGATATACATTTTCTAAAGTAATTTCACAATTTGTGAATCCACACAAGGTAACAACTGCCAAAATAACGAGGAATATATTTTTACTAATCATTACAAGGTTTCCTTATATATATTCGCAATCTTCCTCTTGGTGTGTTGGCCAAAGAGCAGTGATAACCTTGCTAACCTTTACTGTAATCAGACAATCTCTGATATAAGAGTAGATATAGTCCGTAATTTTAAACAGGAGGCTCAAGGGCCTTGAGGGTCACCTGAGTATCAAGAGTTTCCCAGGCTATAATCACTTTTTAGTGAAAAAGATGAAGATAACGAACAGTGATATATTTAAAATAGAACTCACCAACAATACAAATCTGTGAACAGGACATAAAATACGAACCCCTGGAAATTACAGAGGTGGTATCGGGCGCCTAGGAGTAGTAAGCATCCCCGCCGTGAGCCCTAAAAACGACCATTAAATTTACGAAATGTTGACTTTAAACAATGTAGTTGAAATCCCTGCAACATCAACTTATCTGCCAGTAGCCTGCCTGGGTTTAAAAATTGAACGTACTCAGAACAAGCTCTTGAGCATCGAATAAGATTGGAGACGTAAACACCATTCACAGGTAATAGCGGAATATTACTACATAAATTAAATAAGGAAAGTTGATGTTGGAAAAGCTGAGGTCATCTCGTTTTTCGTACAATTTACTAGTAGTCGTTAGTTGACCCTTATCATCTATAGTCAGTATAACATCCAAGAAAAAACAGATGTTGCAGACTCTGTGGTGTCTTTTATTTCATGTTCACTGGAATATATCGAGTCGACATATGAATGGAAGTAACGTTAATTCATAAAACGTTGTCAATATATCTGAAGTGGAGTTGAAGGCCACAGGAAGTGTTTCTTCTTCTCATGTAAAGTTTTTTGAATAAATTCTGCTTCATAGGAATATAAAAACAAATCGGCTGATACAGGAGCACAATAAGTGCCTATGGAATTCCAATAATTTGTTGGAAGACCAGTGGCCCTTTTCACAAAACATCTTACGACTAAGATAAAATTTTGACAACTCCATAATTTTTTGTTTAATAAATATATTGAATTTTTTCTTAAATATTTTTACAATGTAAGCTGGTGTAATAAAAATATAAGACTTTTTTCTGTCCTACTACAGCTTAGATTATTTTTGCAGAAGGGAAAAATTTTTATCTTAGTCGTAAGATTTTTTGTGAAAAGGGTCACTGGTCTCCGAAGACTACATAAATGTTGTCAATGAAGAATTCCAGCATCCTTTTAATATCAACCTCGGGGTACTTGTATGTAGAATCAGAGTGAAGGGAATTCATGTGACAAAAATGTTACAGTTTGGTGAGAACTTTATAATCAAATCATATTCATACAGCTTGTCTTGTTTGACTGCTAGATTGTCAATAGGTAAATAAAAAGACAATTAATATAGTCCAATTCTCAGATTCTGAAAACCAACAGTTATTAATTGATATTGTTGATAAAAATTCTCTGAATTCATAAAGAAATGTGTATTTACCCAGTGTTTTTCTTCAAAGTTCATCATTATAATTAATCATATTATGTAGGGAAAATTACTAAACCTCAAATATATTTTCAGGAAACATGAATAAAAAAAACGGCTTTGCATTTTCAATTTTGAAAATTGATCAACAAATATATTTTAGTATAAACAAACTATAGGTATCCATGCATTCAGAATGAACATACCCGGTGGAACGTAAACTGTTTTGTAAACATGGCACGAGCTCTGTTAATTGTTAATGTTTACGTTTCACCGGGTGTGTTCAATTTGTTAAACTCTGCACACATCACTGAGCACGGACTGACAATACTGGTGAGTTGGTTTTGTTTTCTCACATTTTCTGGATTAAATCTTTAATTTTTTTTTTCATTAATACAAAACAAAATTTCTACTTTTCCTAAGTATTGAGGATAAAGTTTACTATGTGAAAGTGCAAGGATGTGTCAATCAAACGCGTCCCGAAATTCGTTTTTTCAATAATTTTTCAGATAAAATAAATCTTTTATTATATTTCCGTGTGCAACATATAAGTCACGATATTATACAGGAAATTTGAGAAAATATTAACTTCAAATTTGTGTCTGTCCCTTTAATTCTTAAATAAAAGGTAGTGTAAAAAGTTTGTGCTATCTTTTCAAAACATCCCGGATCACCTCTAATTCCATATCATGCAAATAATCTTTGGTATTTTAGGCTAGTTAAAGGAAATGCGATTTCTCTAAAAATGTATTTATTCTGAACTTTTTTGGGGGTATCATCTTTTTATAAGTCCGTTTCTGTGACTACAAAGAGTCCTAAATCATACTGAGATACTGCTGCACTGAAAGATTTCAATTTCAAGCTTCATTTTGAGACTTTTTAAATAAATTATTTTAAGAATTATCTTTCTGGCTGAGGAGCGGATATCCCCAGTTAATATATTCAAAATATGACATAGTCGCATCATGGAGCGGAAAGAATGGACACAGGGGCCATGAATAGTACAATTTCAGTAAAGAGCTCATGGCTTATTTTAGTCATGCTACAGTTTAACCGCTAGATGTTCAGGAATAAGAAAGAAAATTCTCAAAGATGCCATGTACATGTACTTTCAATATAAGAGAAGCTTAGTCCCACCCTGAAACCTAAACCATGGACCAAAAGGCCACGAATTTCAATAATCTGAAAGAAGACTATGTGTTTTTCATAATCATCTGCTTCCGGAAAGTCCACGAGAACAGAAGATTTCTATAGATATATTTCTAATAATATATTATATGACCAATAAAGCCCCACCGTAAGGCCTGAACCATAGTACCTAGGGCCGTGAATTTACAAGTTGGTAAAAAAAAGTTGGTATAAAAGAAAGCTTCTACATAAGTTTTGTTAATTTCTGTGTCGTTAGTTCTTATGAATTTTTTTAATTAGACGCTCATTTTTCATTATTTCTTAAAACAATATGAGCTGCATTTTTGGAAATTTTATTTTGCAGTTAAAACTTTTATGATAAATCTGTAAGTAACTTAAACCTTTATGATCAATTCGATGAAAATAAAGTATTAAATTGTTTCAGAAGAAAGATTTCTGTACAATAGAATGCGTAGTATTATATAAGAAATCAATATTGTTCAGGACGACTATAATGTAATTTTGCTTCAATCAAACTTATAAATAGTTATTCCATCGCAAATATGAAGAAAGAAATTTATATATATATATATATATATATATTCTGCCATCGCAATAGTAAACAACAATTTTGCAATAAAAATTTCCGACATCAAAGTTGCAGCTCTTATTGCTTTAAGTATCTCCTTTGGAAAGGGACCTCCATTTGAAAAAAAGATAACGTGTACACTGATTTCTTAAGGTGCTTTGTGGCAAGTTTGGTTTGAATTTGGACTTGAGAGGAAGACAGGAATGTGAAAATTAACAGATCAGTAGACGAACGAGCAAATTCATCAGAAAAGCGCATTTAGGAATTTTAGGAAAATTATAAAAACTACTAATAAGTTTCATTTTGCTTTCTCTGTACTTATTGTGTGAACCCAATTGAAGTATGTGATTTTTTTTACTAAGTTACATGTAAGTAATTGCAAAAAATAGCGATGATAAAATTCTTACATGTATAAATCTATTTCATACTTTTTAAATATTGTTGAATGTATTACATGTGAAAGTAGTTTGGTCATTACACCAAGGGAACCATATCAGTGACAATAAGTAATATCAAACAAACACTGTCAGTGCTATTTCTTATTTCTCAAAAAAAATATATAGATAACATATAAAAAATCTCATCGCACAAAATATAAATGGAAATGTACACAGCCAAACTTAATAGAAATATTATAATTTCTTAGTAGAAATTTGATCATTTTCTTGTAAAAATCCATCTCCTACAAAATATCATATCTCACTTAATTCTTTCTGGACTCCACAAGCACTACATTTGCAATTTAGTTCACCACTCCAAGAGGAAATGTAATTTGAAAATGATTGCAACAGGAAATTTTCCTGACTTTATTTGCCAGAGAGTTCCAGAGTTTTGCTTTCTCATACTTGATCGATTTTATACATACCTTGTTTTTATTAGACTTGGGACCACTGCAGTATTTGAATATCTAAAATTTAAATTATTATTGAAATTTCATGTAGGGAGAGGACGAATTAAGTGTTATAAACTTGTGTCCAATCCCATTTATATATTTATTACAATAAACTATGTTCAAGTCAGTCTCAAATTGTATGAAATTGTATTTTTAAAACAACCACATCTTGCAGAAAAGATTAACTTAACTCTTGGAGGATTTTAAAAGTTTCTTAAGCAATGGCGCGCATGTTTCTTGTGTTTAGAATGGTTTGTTTGCATGTTTAACGTCCCTTCGAGAATTTTTCACTCATATTGAGACGCCACCACTTGCCGGTGGAGGGCTGCAAATATAGAACTGTACTCTACACTTACATTGAGGGATCTTCGTGCTAGCTCCTACTGCAACCCGGGACCTCGGTTTATACGGTCTCATCGGAAGGACCGGTCTCCACGTCACACAGTGGATCCGAACCCGCTACAAAAGGATTAACTCCTTCCTCTGCGACTGTAGGGCAAACGCTTTAACTAATGCGCCACGGGTACTCGATTAAGGATGGTATTTTTGACTTATTTAGTAAAGTTCCCTATGAACACATTTTTAGTTTAATTCACTACCACAGGCAAATTTAATTCATCTAAATTAAATACTCTATTTTATTTTATATATATTTATTTATTTATTCATTTGCCAATAGAGAAAGCCTGGAATTTTTCGAGGTTAGCCTGCATTTTGTCCAAAGAAAGCTGTCTAATCAGAGATTTACTGTTATCTTGCAAAGCTTTCATTTAACCTTTCCTAGAGATTTGTCTGATAAAGCAGTATCATCTGCATTATTGTAGAGATTATATTATCAACAAAGACAAACAGGTCATTTAAATAAATATGTTAAATAGCAGAGGACCTAGAATTGATCCTTGCGAGACACCTTTAATGATGTTTAGCATGTCGCTTATATGCTGCCTTACTTCCTTTGTGAGATG